GCCTACTTGTCAAAGAAACTTGCCAGAGGGTTCTGGCTGGTACTGAAGGTACTGAACCATGAATCAGGCCATAGTTATGGGTAGCAGAGCCCAAAGGCATGAGACAAGGGTAAACCGTGAGAGGTGCTTAGGGGGGACCAAGAGCAGCCCCCATAGGACAGACGACCACCTGCTATGGAAAACAGCACATAGTGGGAGAATGAAAAATCCTGTTTTTGCTCTGGCCTTACAGTCTCTTCAGTGCTTTATTGACAAGGCATAATATCAAGTATCCTGGCAAAGGACACGAGTCTGTGGTATCTCCAGTATCAAAGCAGGGAAAGAAGGGTTGATTTGGCACTGAGAGGTGATAAACTAGTAAGTGACACATATTAATAATTTATTTCTAAAATATAAAACTATCTTTAGTTTCTTATGTAAGACAAGGGCTTGAACACTAACTTTTCTCTGAAATCAGCCTCATATCCCTTCTTAGCTATTTGTTCTAGCATTTTAGTGCCTCTGTGTTTTTGAACCCAGTTTTTGCAAAAATTTCTGGTTGCTTACTTGTGCATATTTTTTAAACAATCGAGATTTACTTAGGTTCACTGACATATTCTACCGATTTCTTCACTCTCCGCTGTTCTCACGTGTCACTTCTGCCTTACTGTTACGTTTTCTTTCTTGCTGAAATACTACTGGCTGGTTTTGTTTGACATTCCCATATGCTTCAAATTTTTTAAATTGTTTTATAATTTTTGCTGCTGAGCTTCCCTTTAGTGAGAATTATCTGCTGCAGTGGTCCCACATGTGCCCTAGATGGAGATGGGCGTGGCAACCCTAAGGGCCAGTTTTGTGGTTGCTTCTGACAGGGCTTCACCTGGTTCCCAGTTGTAAACCAATTTTCACATTAGTTTCAAAGCTTGAGGATTTACACACTGAGCCAGTTGTGTGTAATTTAAGACCCCATGCCTCTTGTAGTGGAGATTAGCTGATTGTTTTCACCCGTTGCTGACAACCAATTCCTTGTCCTTATTGGCAGCCAAAGTGTTTTCTTGAAAATGCAATTTTTCAGGTTCCTCGCCCCTCACACAGTAGCTCTGCCTCCTGTCTGGTGTTTGCTAAAATTCTGGTTCCCTCAACACTTAAACACCCCTTCAGTTCCTGTACACTGCTTTTAGATTTCCTCTTTGGACTATCACCAGAAACCTGACCTGTTACTTTTACATCAACCATGTTTAAAATAAATGTGCATGGTTTAACTAGGTTTTCTATGTGTTTGGAAGAGGAAGGATAGGTTCTCTCTTGTCTGCTTAGTCTGCCATCTTGATCAGTAGTGTTGGGGGTGCTAAATTTCAGTTGCTTTACCATTTTCAAATCACTTGTCTAGTGAACATTTCAATGTCATTGTGAGGTAGATAGGACAGGCATTGGTTCTCCATTTTATTAGGAAAATTTGTCATTCAAAATAGAAATCTCGGTAGAAACAAATTTTATTACACATCTACCATGTACTTAGCATAGTCTTGGATGGGGGTGAAAATCAGTTCAGGTAGCTTAGAGTTCAGTCAGAGTGTAAACAGAAACATTAAATACCAAACACAATATAAGTAGGCGCTCAGCATGTGACCTTAGTAGATAGCTAATAAACTTTTTTTTTTTTTTAAATTAAATGTTACAAGTCAGGGAATTGTTAAAATGAAAAATGCATGGTATTGACAGTAATGTAATAGGTGATGGGGAGAGGCCACTTCACCGTGGACTGGAGGAGGTGGGCTTGAGATAGGTTTTAAGAGGTAAGTAGGATTTGGGTAGGCAGGATATACTATTTGGAATATTCTAGAATAGAGCATCTGCACATAAAGAAGAAAAAAATTGGAGACCAGATTGTGTTAGGTCTAAAAGGCAAATTAAGGAGTGGGCTTTAATCTTATAGTAAACAAGAAATCATATATAATTTATAAGTGAGAGAACAAAGTAAACCTTTGTTTTAAGATGTTACCATTCTTCAGAAAAGCTGCCGCGAAGGTGGTGATGGGGACAGGAAACTGATGGCAAGGGGATATTGCCTAAGTGGGTAAGACAAAAGAGGATGCGACCTTGATAAAAGCTCTACGAGCATCAGAGAGGATGAGAATATTTGGTTTTATAAAGTTAGAAATGCAAAAGAGGCACTCGTTTAAATATACTATTTACATCTTATTTAAGTGAACTAGCTACCTCTTAGAAAAGTGGAGCCAACCTCCCAAACCTGTCTGAAAGAGACACAGAAAGCCCCTATTCCTCTCTGGCCCTGACACTCTGCAGCATTCTCCAGTGCTCTGCATGGGAGTGCAGATGTAGACCTGGGTTTGGAACTTGGCTTGCATTTTCCTATGGAAATAATACCACATGGTGGAGTTTGGTCCTAGGCCACCCCACACTGGACTATTTAAGTATATCACTGTAACGTTGTTGCCATCAGAAAAGTACATTTTAGTTTAAATTCAGATACAGGAACAAAATCCCAGGCAGAGAAGTACCAGAGAAGTACCAGAAGTACCAGAAGAGCTTAGGTAGTGCTAGCCTAGTTTTGGAGTTTTAGTCCCATTAAAGTGGCCTCTTCCCTTGGTCAGTCACTGCCCAGGAATACCGGTAGCCGCTCCAGGAACAGACTTCTCTTATTCCTTATGTCTGAGACAGGACACTTTTGACACACACATTTAAGCAAGTCCTAAGTCAGATGGTCTATAATTACCTACCAAAAGTGAAAAATCACCAGTGAGGTTCTGATAATTTATTAGGCACGAATTTCCATTTCTTTTGGTATCTGAATAATCCAACCAAGAGAGAATAGTATTTGCTTTTATATATGTTTACTTCTTCCTAATACTATCCAGTCATGCAGTTAAATTTCACACAAGAATGTATATATTTATATTTTCAAAAGGCTGTTCTGATTTAAATTACAAAATATACATATGTACACATTTTAATATAAAGGTGATATTGTAGCTCATCATCAACTTCTGGGCTGTCCATCTGGAGTCAGCTCATACCTGAAAGACAGTTGGGTTTGGACTTATGTTAGTATTGAGAGTGTGTTGTGGCAGCATCAGGACAGTCTAGCCTGCCTGGGCCTGTGTGGGACCAGCAGAACCCATCTCTCTGTAAGTAGGCCAGAGTTGAGAATGGAGCTTACAGAGATCTTTTAGGCAGGCAGTAAACCCTTAAGTAAAGGTGGTAAACAGTCTCCCTTCCTGAGAACCAAAGGAGTTGAAATGTATTGAAAAGAGAAGAACTTTGGAGACAATATCTTGACTAGCAGATAACTTGATAAAATGAAAAGGCTTACTTACCATTGTGAGAAGCCCATAATCAGATCTTCTTTTGATAAGTCAATCAATACCTAAACAATCACAAATAGTCAGTTCTCTTCCAAAAAACTGCATTAAATGGAAACATACTGGGATAAATGGAATTGATCTCAAATAGGGCCTCCTTGGGTTTTGGAGTTTCGAGCAGGGACTCTTTTTCCTTTGGACTTTCAACATGGAACCTCTCCAGAAGGACAGTGCAGACACTGACCTCAGTGTCCTGGGAAAAGGTGAATTCCTGTTTAGATTTATACCTCAAGAATTTATTTATGAATGTTACAGAAAGAAAGAACAACTTGCCTTTACTCATTAACTGATTTCCAATTTTAAGCAAGGCACCATGATTGCCTCAACTGTAAAAATGGGGATAATATCACCTACTTCATAGAAGTGGGCTTTAAAAAGATGAGTATAAGAAGATGTTTATTAAAATTACAACAACTACAAAGTATTATAAAAATACCATTCTTTTTTGTTTTTCCTTGGCATCTGAGGATTGTAGTTGCTCTACTTTAAAATCTCATCATCACAAAAATATTGATGTAATGAGATCCAAGCTTCACAACACACAATGCTGTATTTATTAAAACAATACTTAATACCATAGTAGATGTTCAAATACTTGTGCAATAATGAATTTGGACATTCTCAAGTTTGTTAAAATAGGGTTTATTACATTAATTTATACATCTATATTCTTTAGTTTCAAGAATATTAAAAACAACACACACAACCCAGAAACCTCCCAATTAGGCTATACCCTCCTTTAAGTCAGTTCTGGTAACAGCCAGATAATACCATAAGAATTTCTACAAAAGTGTGTTCTACTAATGAACTCCAGCTAGAGTGCTAGGAGGACAGTACCAAGAGTCCTTCTTGTACTTACTTTTCCTAGCTCCTTCCTTCTGTTTGAGCCAAGTGGCCTACTGTTTTTCACTGCAACATCTAGTGACCTCTTCTTCACTTCCTCCATGGGAACAAAAAATTCAAACCTTTAAAAAAGCAAAAGTTAGGAAATCAGATTCACATATTTTCATCATTTTTGTTGAAAATCTAAAGTATTTCATCCATTTTCTTTAAAAACATAAGACATAGAATATTATAAAGGAGCATCTAGAACAGTATAGGATCATAGCAGATACTCAATGAATGCATCGTTATTATACTTCATTGCTGTCCTGTGTTATTCACAAACCCTCACAAGAGGCCGTGTGCCTGAGAAGTGCTACTGTGTTTTGTGGTTTGCCGCTTGCCTTCTCTGACTCTGCCTTGGCTGCCACTCTTTCAGTTGCCCCTTCTCTGAACAGTGCCTGCTCACAGGACCACATCGACCCCTAAGTTGTTTTTTCTTACCAGCTGAGGGCTAGGATGCTGAGTAGTTAGGTTTTCTGGAGTTGCATGGAAAATAGTGGCCTCTTCCCACTTATGCCTATGGAGTAAGACTCTGTCATGTACTCAACAAGAGGTCTCTAAACTCCTAAAGGTTTTAAAAATCTATTGAGCTATATGTGACACAACTTTAGTTTCGGGTATACATGATTCAATATTCAAATATTTTGAAAATGATCACATCATAAGTCTAGTTAATATCCATCACCATACATAGTTACAAAATTTTTTTTCTTCTTGGATGAACTTTCAAGATCCACTCTCCTAGCTTTCAAATATGTAACAGCAGTGGTCCCCAACCTTTTTGGCATCAGGGACTAGTGCGCCTATGAGAATCTAATGCCTGATGATCTGAGGTAGAGCTGAGGTGGTAATGCTAGCGCTGGGGGTCGGCTTCAAATACAGGTGAAGTTTCGCTCACTGGCCCACCTCTCACTTCCTGCTGTGCGGCCCAGTTGCTAATAGGTCACAGACTGATACCCGTCTGCAGCCTGGGGTTTAGGGACTGCGGTAATACAGTATTATTAACTACAGTCGCCATGCTATACATTGTATCCCCATGACTTATTCATAACTAGAACTTTGTACTTTTTGACTCTCTTCATCCATTTTACTCACCCCCACCTCAGGCAACCACCAGTCTGTTCTCTATACTCATGAGCTCATTTTTTTTTTTTTTAGATTCCATGAGATCATATGGTAATTACCTTTTTCTGTCTGAATTATTTCACTTAGCATAATGCCCTCAAGGTCCATCCATGTTGTTGCAAATGGTAGGATTTCTTTCTTTTTCATGGATGAATAGTATTTATTTGTGTGTGTGTGTGTGTGTGTGTGTGTGTGTGTGTCTACACGCACCATATTTCCTTTATCCATTCATCCATTGATAGATATTTAGGTTGTTTCTGTGTCCTGCCAATTGTAAATAATGCTGCAGCAAATATAAGGGTGCATTTATCTTTCTGAATTAGTGTTTTCATTTTCTTTGAATAAATACCCAGAAGTAGAAATGCTGGATCATATGGTAGTTCTAAGTTTTTGAAGAACCTCCATGCTGTTTTCCACAGTGGCTGCATCAGTTTACATTACCGCCAACAATGCACAAGGATTCTCTTTTCTCCACATCCTTGCCAACTCCAGTTATTTTTTTTGTTTGTTTGTTTTTTATAATAGCCATTCTGACAGGTGAGAGGTGATCTTATTGTGGTTTTGATTTGCATTTCCCTGATGATTAGTGATGTTGAGCACCTTTTCATGTACTTGGTCATCTGTATACCTTTTTTGGAAGAAATGTCTATTCGGATCCTCTGCCCATTTTTTAATTGGATTGTTTGAGTTTGGGCTATTGAGTTGTATGAGTTCTTCATATACTTTGGATGATTTGCAATTATTTTCTCCCAGTCTATAAGGTTGCCCTTTCATTTTGTTGGTTTCCTTTGCTGTGCCAGAAGCTTTTTAGTTTGATATAATTGTTCCACTTCTTTATTTTTGCTTTTGTTGCCTTTGCTTTTGGTATCAAATCCAAAAAATCATCACCAAGACCAATATCAAGGAGCTTACTGCCTACGTTTTTTTCTAATAGTTTATGGTTTCATGTCTTATATTCAAGTTTTAATCCATTTCGAGTTAATTTTTATGTATGGTCTAAGACAGTGGTCCAGTTTTCCCAACACCATTTATTAAAAGCCTGTTTTTTTCTCATTGTAAATTCTTGGTCTCTTTTCTGTAAACGAATTGACTACACATGTGTGGGTTTATTTCTGGGCTCTCTATTCTCTTCCATTGATCTATGTGTCTGTTTTTATGCCAGTGCCGTACTGTTTGATTACTGTAGCTTTGTAATATAGTTTGAAATTGGGGAGTGTGATGCTCCAGGATTTGTTTTTCTTAAGATTATTTTGGATCTTTCATTGTTTTATGCAAATTTTATGGATGTTTATTCTATTTCTGTGAAATATATCATTGGGATTTTGATAGGGATTGCATCAAATCTGTTGAGTGCTTTGGGTAGTATGAACATTTTAACAGTGTTAGTTCAATTCATGAGCATGAACTATCTTTCCACTTATTTGTGCCTTCTTCAGTTTCTTTCATTAATGTCTTATAGTTTTCAATATACAGGTCTTTTACCTCCTTGGTTAAATTTATTCCTAGATATTTTATTCTTTCTAATGTAATTGTAAATGGTATTCTTTTCTTAATTGCTCTTTTCTGATAGTTTATTTTTAGTGTATAGAAATGTAACATATTTTTTCATATTGATTTTGTATCCTGTAACTGCATTTGTCGATTAATTCTAACAATTTTTTTGGTGAAATCTTTAGGGTTTTCTATATATAAAATCATATCATCTGCAAATAGTGACAATTTTACTTTCCAATCTGGATGCCATTTATTTATTTATTTATTTGTTTGTTCATTTAGCCTGAGTGCTCTGGTTGGAACTTTGATACTGTGTTGAATAAAATTGGCAAGAGGGGGCATATTTGTCTTGTTCTGGATCTTAGAAGTGCTTTAATCTTTTCATCATTGAATATGATGTTAGCTATGGGCTTGTCATATATGCCTTTATTGTATTGAGAATACCAGCTTTGTAGAGTTTTTATCATGATTGGATGTTAAATTTGTGAAATTCTTTTTCTGCATTTGAGATGATCATATTTTTATCCTTCATTTTGTTAATGTGGTGTATCACCTTGATTAATTTGCAAATGTTGAACCATCCTTGCATCCCTAGAATTAAATCCCACTTGATCCTTTTAATGTATTCTTGAATTTGGTTTGCTAATATATTGTTGAGGGGTTTTGCATCTATGTTCATCGGGGATATTGGCCTATAATTTACTTTTCTTGTGTTGCCCTTGTCTGGTTTTGGTATCAGAGTAGTGCTGACCTTATAAATATTTGGAAGTGTTTTCTCCTCTTGTATTTTTGGGAAGAATTTTAGAAGGATTGGAGTTAATTCTTTGAATATATTTGATAAAATTCACCAGTGAAGTTGTCTGGTCCTGGACTTTTGTTTGAAAGGTTTTTGATTACTGATTGAATCTCCTTACTAGTAATGGGTCTGTTAAGATTTTCTGTTTCTTTATGATTACCTTGGTGAGTTGTACAAGTCTAGGAATTTATTAATTTCTTCTAGGTTGTCAAATCTGTTGGTAATTGTTCATTGTAGTCTTTTATGATCTTTTCTGTTTCTGTGGTATCAGTTTTAATGTTCCCTCTTTCTGATTTTATTTATGTCCTCTTTTTTTTTCTTGATGGGTCTGGCTAAAGGTTTATCAACTTTGTTTACCTCTTCAAAGAACCAGCTCTTAGTTTCACTTATTTTTTTGATTGTCTTTTTAGTCTCTATTTCATTTATTTTTCACTCTGATTTTTATTTCCTTCTCTTTTGATCTTTTTCTAATTTCTTGAGGTGTGAAGTTAGGTAGAGATTTTTCTTATTTACTGATATGCGGATTTATCACTATGAATTTCCCTCTTAGAACTGTTTTTGCTGCATCTCATAAGTTTTGGTATGTTGCATTTCCAATTTTTTTGATTTCTTTGTTGATCAATTGGCTTTTCAATAGCATGTTGTTTAATCTCCGCATAATTGTGAATTTCCCAGTATTTTGCTTTTGATTTCTGGTTTTATGCCATTTGGTTGGAGAAGATGCTCAATATTTCAACTCTTCCTAAATTTATTGACTTATTTTGTGGCCTGACATATGATTTGTCCTGGAGAATGTTCCATGTGCACTTAAGAATGTGTATTTGGCTTCTTTTGGATGAAATGTTCTGTATATATCTGTTTATACCAGCGTTTCTTTAATGATTTTCACTCTGGGTGACTTATCCATTGATGAAAGTGGGATATTGAAGTCTCTTACTATTACTGTATTGCTGTTTATTTCTCCCTTTAGGTCTGTTAATATTTCCCTTATATATTTAGGGGTTCCTATGTTGGATGCATAAGTAGTTACGAATGTTATAATCCCTTGGTGGGTTGACCCCTTTATCATTATGTAATGACCTTCTTTGTCTCTTATTACAATCTTTGTTTTAAAAGCCTGTTTCGTCTCATATAAACATAGCTACCCCAGCTTGCTTTTGGTTTCTGTTTGCATGGAACATCTTTTTCCATCCCTTCACTTTGTCTCGGTGTGTCCTTACATCGCAAATGAGTCTCTTGTAAACAGCATATAGATGGATCTTGTTTTTTTTAATACATTCAGCCCCTCTATTGATATGTATGTACTTATTGCCATTTTATTAAATTTTTTTCAGGCTGTCTTGCAGTTCCTCTCTGTTCCTTATCTATTTTGTGGTTTGCTGACTTTCTTTAGTGGTATACTTGGATTCCTTTCTCTTTATCATTTGTGTACCTACTATAGGTTTTTGCTTTGTGGTCACCATTTGCTTACATATAACAACTTATATCAGTCTATTTTAAGTTGATAACAACTTAAGTCTGCATTATAAAGCTCTATCTAGTTTTACTCTCATCCCATGTTTTGTTTTTGATACCACATTTTACATCTCATCTTGTGTATCCCTTAATTATTGTAGTTATTTTTACTACTTTTGTCTTTTACTTCATACTAGTTTTATAAGTGAT